CTCCCAGCAAGTAGCATTCAAGTACTTTCATGGCTTCAACAAATGTCCTTTCTCCTTTCTTCCTTTTTATAATGCCCCCCTTTTCTACCCTTCTTTTTTATTATCTGGTTTGTGCATTATGTAACGGGAGCTGTTTTTAGAATGCAGGTGCCTACTTTGATTTCTAGGCATCTCTGAACGTCCAAAACGTAATCCCTCGTCATGAACGTTGGCTCCAGCGTCATGTTTACTCTGCGGAGGAGTATTATTAGCTTCACACGTCTCTCTCTCTCTCTCTCTCACGCTTCAAGGGAAGGAGATGAGTGTGAAGACGTGTGCTTCCTCCCCCTCCTCTAATAGTTAAAGGAAGATAGCAAAGGATTGCATGAGATCAAAACATCTAGCCTTCCCTTCCTGCTACCCTGCATGTTTATTTATTTATTATCGACTGCAATCCTCACTGATGCAGCATGGCTATGCTTGAAATTCGATCCTTATTGACTTTGCCACCTCTAAGAATAAAGAAAATGGGTAAGAATGAAAATAGTAATTGGAAACAGTTCCAGCGGAGGAGAGCTGTCATGAGACGGATTGATTTGGCAGTGGCAGAAGTAGCGTTATTGATTGCCACTCTTTAGTGAATTAAAAAGAGGCCCACAAGATTTAATGTGCCTCTTTCTTTCCTTTTGTGTCTGTGGGCGTGGGAGGAAGTGAGACAAAGAAGTAGCAATTTGACATGACCTGCTTGGATAAAGACCTTAAAAGTGGCACGATAGACTTATCGACCTTCAACCAGAGATGGGAACAAAAGTCTTCAAAATCTCAGCATGATTTGATAACAGTGCTGATGGGTGAGATAGAAAGCATGATAGAAATGACTTCATTCACTGTTTGAGGAGGGGAAAACAAACGTTTCGCAGCATCTGGACACAGTGACAAGTGGTGAATGTTGGATTTCTGAATCTCCACTTCTCAGTTGGATTCTGTCTAGGGGAAAAAAGAGTGGAGAAGATGTGGACTAGCTCTACTGTTAGCCCAGGAGAGATAGCTGTTTCAAATGGTAAACGCCATATGGTAGGAAGCTGAGGTGAGATGTTGGAAGTCAGAACTATTATATGTCAGAATTGCAAGCTTGGTAGATAAAAGAATGCTGTGAATACACATGTCTTGCTTTCAGTAAGGCCTTCAACAAGGTACTCCATGAAATCCTTGCAAATAAGCCAATACAATGTGTGCTAGACAATAGTACTATTAAATGGATTGGTAATTTGTTGATGGTTTGAACCCAAATGGTGCTTACCCTCAATCCTGCAGAGAAGTAACTAGTGGAGTTCCACAGAGTACTGTCCTGGGCCCATTACTATTCAATAACTTTATCAATGACTTGTATGAGAGGCTGGGTTGACTTATGATTCCTTCCAACTCTTTGATTGGAACCCCTGGTGGCGCAGTGGGTTAAACCCTTGTGCTGGCAGGACTGAAGACCAACAGGTTGGAGGTTCGAATCCGAGGAGAGCGTGATGAGCTCCCTCTGCCAGCTCCAGCTACCCATTTGGGGGCATGAGAGAAGCCTCCCACAAGTATGGTAACACATCAAAACATCTTGGCATGCTCTGGGCAATGTCCTTGCAGACGGCCAATTCTCTCACGCCAGAAGTGACGTGCAGTTTCTCAAGTTGCTCGTAACACACACACAAAAAACAAAAACAAAACAACTCTTTAATTCTATGATTTTTCTGAACCACTTAACAAGCCTGGCAGGTTACTGTATCATCCAGACTGCGGAAAAGTTACTCCTCAGCCAGTATGACCATTAAATGTGGGATTCGGAGAGCTATTTTCCAGAAATAACTTTTCTAAGTTCAATTATCAATGTAGGTTCACATCCTAGTCTGGTCTGCTTTTCAATACAGCATGGGAAGAGGCGCCTTGTTCACTTGTCTTGGTTTGGGAGATAGCTTGGACCAACCCTTAAGCAAGGGCAGCGTTGGGGTAAATAATGAGTCTTTCCATGAAGGGTGCATAGCTTGTTATCTATCAAGATCGGCATAGCCCACCACCTAAGTCTATTCTTTTCTGTGTTTCCTGTAGTGCAAAACCAGGGGCACTTTCATGATCTTGACAACCCAAAGACATAATATACATTATTGCAATTATATAACTGTTTTACTTTCGGTCTTAGGGACCTCATGTCTTTTGCATTTCAGGGAACCCTTGCTCTCTATTTTTTGTTAGATCTCTAGGCCCATTGGAAACATGGAATTAATTTACATTATTATATCCTACTAGCCATCCCCTGCCACGCATCGCTGTGGCCCAGTCTGTGTATATGTGTTTTGTGTGTGTATATATATGTATAAGTGTGTGTGTGTATGTGTACATATGTGTGTTTGTGTATATGTGTGGTTTTGCACGTGCACTGTAATGCATTTTTTGTTTTTTGGCTTTTTAAATCCCTTTGGCTGTGTTTTTCAATGTTTTTGTAAGTGATGATCACTCGTTGGCCTGATAAGTGTACTCTGTCTAAATTTGGTGTCAATTTGTCCAGTGGTTTTTGAGTTATGTTAATCCCACAAATGAACATTACATTTTTATTTATATAGATGCTGCTGTAATACATGTGTATCAAGATTACAGGATCTCCAGAATATCTTTGATCACTGATAGGCTGGATAGAATAAATATGGTAGCTACCCTTCCTCAACTGTATTACTTTAGACTGCAGTTGGGCCACTTCATACATTTATAGTATTGCAATTCCCACTGTTTTGCTCAGTATAAGCTTCCTCTTGATTTTCCAGGCCATTGTAATAATCTTTTTTGTCTTGCTTAAAGGGTATGGTTGATATTAATGAGACTACCATCCCACCATCCCAAAATGATATAAGCTGTGTTGCCACTTCAGAGAAGAAACAAGAGGTGGCACTGCTGTGCTATTATGTTGTCTGGACTCATTCAAGAAGTGTGATGCATAAGAATTTCTTTCAGTTTTGTTTTTATAATAAATTACTATAATTTTCACATCTGTTCTATGATAGAATGAACTTTGGATATAAAATGCTCAATTGGGGGGGGGGGGACTATCTTAATATACCTACAAATTAATCTGTTTTAAGATAATTATCTGTTAAATTAATCAATCTATGATCAAGATCCCTGTGCATTTGAGCCATGTTAGGGCTGAATGGTTGCCATTTCTTTTTCTATGAGGCTCTTCATCTTTAAAGTGAATATGTCAGACAAGTGTAAGATAGACCTCTCAGTGTGAGGAATACATATACCTACTGAATTTGGTCAGTGCAGATGAGGGAACATCTTATTTCCAGTCACTTCTGTAGAGTTTACAAAATTCATTATAGGGTGGGAATTGAGTGAAGGAAAAAACCCCAAAGTGGATAGATTTTTCCACTTTCTGGTACTGACTGAGATCTGCATGTGTGGAAATGAACACAGACCCAAACAAATCTCTGTTCAATTTATCCAACAGTAACAAGAGCTTGTAAAATATCTACAGATGAAAAAAAAATTATGAAATGTATATTATTGAAAAAATATCCACAAATGTGCTTTGTTTCACTGGGAAAATCTGTATCCCCCCCCCCCAAATATACATAATAATACAGTGTTTATCAACCTGGGGGTTGGGACCCCTGAGGGGGTTGCAAAGGGGTTTTCAGGGGGGTCACCAAAGACCATCAGAAAACTCATATTTCTGATGGTCTTAGGAATCCCTTTGTCAGAAAAGGCTGAAGGTCTCTCCTCCTGTCCTTCCCTTCTTTTGGAAACAGATGGCAAAGCCTCCCACCAAAAGCCCTACTCCTGCTCTCTGGATGGAGGTGAACTAACATTCCAAAACTCAAGGTCAATGCCCTTCCAGTATTTTTTGTTGGTTATGGCAGTTTTGTGTGGGAAGTTTGGCCCAATACTCTCGTTGGTGGGATTCAGTATGCTCTTTGGTTGTAGGTGAACTATAAATCCCAGCAACTACATCTCCCAAATGTCAAGGTCTATTTTACCCAAACACCACTGGTGTTCACATTTGGGCATATTGAGGATTCGTGCCAAGTTTGGTCCAGAACCACCATTGTTTGAGTCCACAGTGCTCTCTGGATGTTGGTGAACTACAACTCCAAAACTCAAGGTCAATGCCCACCAAACCCTTCCAGTATTTTCTGTTGGTTGTAGGAGTTCTGTGTTCCGAGTTTGGTTCAGTTCCATCATTGGTGGAGTTCAGAATGCTCTTTGATTGTAGGTGAAGTATAAATCCCAGCAACTACAACTCCCAAATGACAAAATCAACCCACCCAACCCACCAGTATTCAAATTTGGGCGTATTGGGTATTTGTGCCAAATGTGTTCCAGTGAATTAAAATACATCCTGCTTATCAGATATTTACATTACAATTCATAATAGTAGCAAAATTGCAGTTCTGAAGTAGCAACAAAAATAATATTATGGTTGGGGGTCACCACAACATGAGGAACTGTATTAAGGGGTCATGGCATTAGGATGGTTGAAAAACACATATAATATGTAATTGTTGAAAGACATGTAAAAATGTGTGTGATTCTGCATCTAGAAAGAGTAAAAAAAAAAACTCTCAGTGAGGTATAAACTTGAGAGGTGGAAATTAGAGAATCCAGATGATCTGATGTGTGCATCCTTATCCAGTGGTTTTCAAGGAGAATATGAGAAGAACTATCCTCGACCATCTGAAATGCTTATTACACTTCCTACTGTGATTGATCAGGTTTTGTATAGGATGCCCTATATCATAACCCTTGGTCTATATTTTCTAGCAATTGGTAGTTAGAGATATTCTGCCTCTGAATGGAGATACTACATAGGCGGTACGATTGGAACCACTGATTGCGTTACAATCCACTATTTTTTCTGAATCCCTTGTAAACTGCGGAGGCTTTTATTTATACATACACTATACAAATGCTGAATTACTGAGCCTGAAAATACATACAATTAACTGCAAGAAATAACATATTATTCTGCCCTGCTTTTGCAGATTGTTATGGATTTTAAGCATCCTGATGGACAGACAGCAGCAGTTATGCTTCCTCAGCGCAGTTTGCTTGTAATGTCTGGAGAATCTCGCTATCTATGGACTCACGGGTAGGTGTTGAGATTTGTAAGTTAATTACAGTGTGACCTCAGTTTCCACGGAGGATATGTTCTTAGTTTAATGTGGAAACAGGAAAATGTTGATAGCGAACCCTATTGAAATGAATGAATTCTGCTTGAAGTTACCATAGAGTCACCCAGTTGCAATGGTTAGATGCTCATAGAATTGAACTGTGCTGTGTATGCTTGTTCAAAAAATGTATATATTGGGTTGTTGTAGTTTTTTCGGGCTGTATGGCCATGTTCTAGAAGCATTCTCTCCTGATGTTTCGCCTGCATCTGTGGCAAGCATCCTCCGGGGTTGTGAGGTTTGTTGGAAACTAGGAAAAATTGGGTTTATATATCTGTGAAAGGTCCAGGGTGGGAGAAAGAACTTTTGTCTGTTGGAGCTAGGTGTGAATGTTTCAATTGGCCACCTTGATTAGCATTTGATGGCCTGACAGTTTTTAGGTGTGGCTTGTTACTGCCTGGGAAATTCCTTTGTTGAGAGGTGATTAGGTGCTCCTGATTGTTTCTTGTCTGGAGTTTCCCTGTGTTTGAGTTTTGTTTTTTATTTACTGTTATAATTTTAGAGTTTTTTAGTACTGGTAGCCAGATTTTGTTCATTTTCATGGTTTCTTCCTTTCTGTTGAAATTGTCCACATGCTTGTGGATTTCAGTGGCTTCTCTGTGCAGCTGACATGGTGGTTGTTAGAGTGGTCCAGCATTTCTGTGTTCTCAAATAATATGCTGTGTCCAGGTTGGTTCATCAGGTGCTCTGCTATGGCTGACTTCTCTGGTTGAGTTAGTCTGCAGTGCCTTTCATGTTCCTTGATTTGTGTTTGGGCAATGCTGCCTTTGGTGGTCCCTATGTAGACTTGTCCACAGCTGCATGGTATATGGCAGCAGAGGTGAGAAGATCCCTCTTGTCCTTTGCTGAACGTAACATTTGTTGGATTTTCTTGGTGGGTCTGTAGATAGTTTGTATGTTGTGTTTCCTCCATCAGCTTCCCTATGCGGTCAGTGGTTCCCTTGATGTATGGCAAGAACACTTTTCCTCTGGGTGGATCTTTGTCTTTACTCTTGTGGCTTGTTCTCGGTCTTGCAGCTCTTCTGATGTCTGTGGTGGAGTATCCATTGGCCTGTAGAGCCCAGTTTAGGTGGTTCAGTTCATCTTGGAGGAGGTGGGGTTTGCAAATTCTTTTTGCACGGTCTGCCAGTGTTCTTGCCATACATCAAGGGAACCACTGACCACATAACCTCTGAGGATGCTTACCACAGATGTGAAATGCCAGGAGCAAATGCTTCTAGAACATGGCCATATAGTCCGAAAAACCTACAACAACCCAGTGATTCTGGCCATGCAAGCCATCCAGCCTTGCCACCCTGTTTTGGCCCTGTGCCTTAGACCTCAGCTAAGAATGGAAAGTTGTTCCCAAGACCCTTTACAATTTTCAAATATAGTTTCCCAGGCTAAAAGGGGTTCTCCATCTTTGCCTGAAGGTGATAATAAGATTTAGAAAATTCACAGGATGCTTGAAATAATGCATATATTGTGAATCTATAGGAACGTTTTAGCTATGGTTTGCTCTAGTTTGGGAAGATTTTTTTAATCTTTTTTGTAGTTCATTCTGACAGAACTGAACTCAGCTTTTGAGCAGTGGAAGTCAATAATAGGCTGAATGCTTGTCTTGCTGAGAGTCGTGTTCTGACTTTGAAGTCAGCAATTTTGTGGGGCTTTTAGTGCAAGCTAGTCCACTGGAAAGCATGCTGGTTTTCTCCTAGAAACAAATTCTGGAGTAATGTAGCTGAATCGCAAGATGAGACTAAAGCTTGGCATTAGAAAAATGTGGCATTCTACAGATTTGTCTGAGAAAGGGAGACCCAACACATCTTTCCTTCTAATTGGTCCATCAAATAGAGAATAGATGTTTGTGGAAATTTTGCTGCTTTCTTACCAAAGACTGGAGAAATTACTTTTGAACTAAATCCTACAATCAGCATGGCTGTATCCATGTTGTCTTGAGGATTGTGAAGTTCTGTTCTCAAATAAGTAACTTATCTAAACACCTATCTTTTCTATTGCATTAATTTGTTCTTACTGTCTCTCTTGTGATTTTATGGACCTGCAGAGTTAGGGAGATGCTGAAGGCACTGAATGGATAGAAGCTGATGTGCCACATTAAGTGCTAGGTGCAATAAGCGTTAAAAGCATTTGAGAGATCTAGCTGTAGAGCGCTCTGGAACATATAGTGTAAGTGCTTCTGGAAAGCTTCCTGAAGTGCTGTTAGACTTCCAAAAAGTCAAGTGCATCCTGTGTGATTTGGATTTTTTATTTGAGGAAGACTAAAAATAGATCAATGGAGGGGGCCATGATTGCAGACCCTCATTGGACTCTCTCTTTGTGGAGGAAACTTGGTCTAGTTTTTCAGAACAGAAGATGATAGTTCAGGCGTGGGCAAACTATGGCACTCCAGGTGTTTTGGACTTCAAGACCTACAATTCCTAACATCCTGTTAGCTGTTAGGAATTGTGGGAGTTGACGTCCAAAACACCTAGCGTGCCGAAGTTTGCCCATGTCTGGGATAATGGAAGAACTGCACACATTGGTCTAAATCAGTGGTTCTCAACCTGTAGGTCCCCGGGTGTTTTGGCCTACAACCCCCAGAAATTCCAGCCAGTTTACCAGCTGCAAGGTTTCTGGGAGTTGAAGGCCAAAACATCTGGGGACCCATAGGTTGAGAACCACTGGTCTAAATCCTAGTGTTAGCCTAACTAGAGTAGATCCATAGAATCATTTGGTTTTTGCTATCTGTTGAGTCAGAGTTATTTTAGTGTTTGAATATTGAACTAGGGCCCCAGGAGACTCAGACCTCTAAGCACCTGTGGAAACCCACTTTGTGATTGTGGGGAAGTCACACTCTTCCAGCCTCAGAGGAGAGCATTGAAAACCTGGCTCTGGACTAATCTTGCCAAGAAAACACCATCATAGAGTTGCCTTAGGATCCCCATCAGTCAAAACATGTGTTGAAGACATTCAGCAGCAGCAACAACAACATGATGTTGGTTTACCATTGAGCAGCTGGTTGCACAGTTTTACACCTGTTGGGACTGACCAACAGAATTCTAGCCGAAATGAGTTAGTAAAGCTTCAGAAGAGAATTTATGATTCCTATGTAAACAGAAATGGTACTGTTTACAGTGCACAGACCAATGAGGAAGCCAACTTATTCCTCTTTCTTGGTGTTCTTTCACACTATACAGTTGTAGCGCTTATATTTTACTTAAACTGCCCTGGCTGCATTCATTGGAATCCTGAGGTTTGTAGTTTGATGAGGCAGTAAAGTTCTCTAAATGAGAATTATAATTTTTTTTAAAAAAATTACAGGTACCACGATTCTGTAGGATACTACCTTGGTAATAAAAGTGGAATAATGTTGATATTATTGTGTAGTGTGAAAGAGGAGCCCCCAGTAGCACAATGGGTTAAACCCTTATGTCGGCAGACTGCTTGACTGAAAGTTGGCGGTTTGAATCTGGAGAGTAGGGTGAGCTCCCATCTGTCAGCTGTAGCTTCTCATGTGAGGACATGAGAGAAGCCTCCCACAGGATTGTAAAACATCCTGGCATTCTCTGGGCAATATCCTTGCAGACGACCAATTCTCTCACACCAGAAGCGACTTGCAGCGTCTCAAGTTGCTCCTGACATGAAAAAAAGTGTGAAAGAGCCCAAGAATCATACTACTTGTATTATTTACTTTGACAAGCAATAGCTCCTGGGCTTTACTTCTTGATCTATTTTTGGAAAATATGTTTTACATGCTACCTTTCTCATCAAAATGGCAAAGTGGTTAATAAGTTGTCAGTCCAAAACCATAATTGTAACATTATTATTGTTTATAGGTATAGATCAATTTAGTACATAAAATCAAAATATAGAATGCATTTTAAAAATCAAATTACCAACTACAAACTTAATATGTCATTTATATGAGTCAAACAGTTATATGTAGCAGAACTAAAATGGCTAGAAGTGAGTTTTATAATATGGTTTTGCCACAGAAGACATATCAAATCCTCCATAAAAAAGACATAGGTACAAAAAGCTTTAGAAGGGAAGAGATGGTTCTGTTTACTCAATTAATTCTATTTTGTTTGGATTTTAATTTTCTAGCAGCCTAAGTAAAATTTGCAATTTGAATAGTAATAGAAATATTGCTGCCTCTTAGTAGTGTACATATCTGTTTCAAGGGGAGAACAGAGGGCAGAGAATGAATTTGTTCCCAGGAGAGTTAGACATTTGGCAGCTCAATTAAATAGTGGAAGACAGCCTCACCTTCAGCAGGCACCTCTGTACAGAACTTACTCAGTGTAGTCAATAGTCTCTACCTCTCAATTTGTATAGGGGAAATCCTAGCCGTATCATAGAGAAGTACTGCAATCTTTACTTCTATGAGTAGTATTGAAATGGGAAAAATATCCAAGCCACACAATTCTTATACAATGCTGTTGATACAGAAATTAAAAAAGGAAGGAGGCAAAAAGATGGAACATCTTTCCTTGTAATTTGGATCCATCAATTCATTCTTTAGTTCACTGATTCTCAACCTATGGGTCCCCAGATGTTTTGGCCTTCAAATCCCAGAAATCCTAACAGCTGGTAAACTGGCTGGGATTTCTGGGAGTTGTAGGCCAAAAACAGGTTGAGAACCACTACTGTAGTCTATGGAGCAACAGAAAATGAGTCGACTCTACATGACATCTCTTCAGATATGCCACCTTGCAGTTGTCTCCCAGATAAGGATACCCAGCTCCCCAGGTCATTCCTCTTAAGGATTGGTTTCCAAATCTTTGGGAAGTTTGGTCACCCTGGTTTGTTACTGAAAGTAATTGAAGCAAATACTTTATGCGAGTTGGAGGTGGCTTGCTATACAACATTGCTGATTGGAGAGCCCCTTTTAGTATTCCAGGCAACCAACCCTGATACCTTTATCTTATTTCTCAGTAGTTCTGTGTTGGCTGCAATCCTGACGATGCTTATGGACACTCATGGCCTTGGTTTCTTATTAGCAAGAATCATTCTATGAAAGATGCAAATGATAGCATGTGACAAATGAGTGTTTGTGTTCATCATTAATATTTAGTCTCCTGACTAAGCATGTTGTGGATTTTTCAAGAAAAAATTATTTAAATATAGGTGCTATATTTATGAGTTGCCCATGGGCTGAGAAAGGCAGTATACAAACATAGTAAACAAACAAACAAACAAATAAATAAATATTTGAAAAAATGCCATCAAAACACTGAAAGCAAAAAATAAAAGAAATTACATCAATCCCATCATTGACTTATGCTCTGTTTTAAAGCATCACACCGAGGAAATTTGACATTGTTCAAGCATCTCAGGAGCAAAAAGTTGGAACAGTCACTGCTGACATTGGAGATTTAACTTTAAACAAAAGAGGAACACGGACATCTTTCACCTTCAGGAAAGTGAGGAGAGGACCTTGCAAGTGCTGTAAGTTTTGGATCTCAGATGTTGGACACTATACATGTGTTGATGGGAAACACAAAGAGGGACACTGCTTGTCATTAATGAATTAATTTTATACTGTGAGGAAGAACAATAATACTGGCCAACACACATTTCAGTGCTGATTTCAGAAATAGCACCAGTTTTTCCCTATCAGCTCAAGTTTTTGAGATACAGAACATATGCCATATACCAGTTGCCATCTACTTGTCCATAGAAAATCATGGTAACAATATCTAAGAAATTAGAATGGATGTGGCTCATCCAATGCAATTTTCTGAATAAATGTCCAAAATAACCCCAGGTATAGGCCTAAAAACCAAAACACCAAGAATTTTATTGTTGTTGTTGTTGTTGGGCTGCTATATAGTGATCACTATATAGATGGGAAAACTGAAGATTAGTGGAATTATTTTCCAGCAGTGGAATATAAACTGAACAGTAATCTGTCTATACTGGCACCCTGATTCTCTTATTGACAGGATGATCAGACATCACACAGACATGTCACCCCCCCTTTTTTTGCTCACATAGCTTTGAGTGTCATTTTTAGAGAGATAAAGTGGAATGATGATGACGATGATGATGATGCCAGTATGGTGATCTTGTTTGCTGTATTGTATTGTTGTGTATCTAATAATAATAATATTAATAATAATAATAATAATACCACCCTAGTTAATGTAGATGCTCCGACCATCACTACCTACAGTGCCAAAACCAAAGCATTTTTTGCCTTCCAGAAGAGGAAGAGACACTCCATCCTGTACCCTGTTAGGCATCAGTGTTGCAGAACACTCTGGAATATCCTGTTAAATTAGGGCAGCAACTTTAGCAGAGTGGACAAACTTGGTAGCAGTCCAGCCATTGTTGGTTTTTGAGGGATCTTCTGTGGCCATCCAGCATTGGGAAGTTGCCCAATTCTAATTCTTACATTATCCGATTTTAACTGATGGGTATTTGTCAAATGTTGTTTAAAAGGAAGATCGCTTCCTTGATAATAGACAAAGAGAGTTGTTTTCATTATTTGAACTAGTTAGATTTGCAATTTTAAATGAAGATACAAGATTGGAAATTCAATTTTCAGTGTCTTTGCCATTAAATACATTTAATCAAACAGAAGAGATTAAGCAGTTTGAGTATTGGACTATTACTCTTGAAACAGGGATTTGAATCCCCATTTGAGCATGGAAATCTTCTGGGTGGCCTTGGGCAGCTCAAATGATCCAGTATCAGAGGAAAGCAAAGGGAAACTTTCAGGGAACAAATCTTGTCAAGAAAACCCCATGATAGGGTCACTGTAGTCAGAAATGAAGTCACACAACAATAACCATAAAAAGTATAACATTTCCTTTAAAAATAAATATCTTCTTATCTTTTCCTCTCTTCTCACCAGCTTATCCTTCTGTGTGTGACAGCCAGTGCAAAGTCACCACACCTTCATTCCCTGACAGTGAAAGTGAAGCCTCAAAGCTGGAGAAAGAGTATGTCCATGATGTGTACGAACAGATTGCCCTGCATTTCAGCAGCACCAGGCACAGCCCGTGGCCACGAGTAATTGAATTCCTTAGAGCTTTACCACATGGGGCAATTGTGGCTGATGTTGGCTGTGGGAATGGAAAGTATTTAGGAGTCAGCAAGGACATGTACATGGTAAGGCATTGTTATTTGCATTTCTCCTTGTTTTGAAGGATATCATTTGTGGACCGTGGCACTGGCTCCTGGTGTTTAATGATCTATGCATAAGATGCTTCCAATGAACTCCCTTCCTTAATGCATTTACTTCTTCATTTATCACTAGCTGCTGTTGCTCTTCTTCCACATCTTTGTGATCCTCTGATTAATTGATCAGCAGTAAACCAGAAAGCAAACAAGCCAAGCCTTTTTCTTCTCTTGTCTAGTTCAGAGTGGAAAGTCAGTGAACAAACAATGTGTAGCACTGAAGCAAAGGAGGGCCAAAGTGTCTTGTTAATGGGTTTCCACTGGGCTGGGTCTCTTAGTAGGTGCCCAGTAGTACCTATTCATGGTGCTAGTTGTTTAATATAAGGAGAAGGCTGTTCCCGGTATTTTCCCTATATGAAAAGCTTTCTTCTGTTCTTGCTTTTCTTCTATACCTTCTAAAACCTGTTGTTTATCAAAAAAGACCTTTGAGGTAGCTAACAGCATAGTGATTGAAGGTGCATATACACTGTAGAATGAATGCAGTTTGACACCACTTTCATTGCTATGGCTTAATGTTATGGAATCATGGGTTTGTAGTTTGGGAAGACACCAGGACTCTTTGGCAAAGAAGGCTAACACCTGTTGTAGTCCAGGGCTGGGGACACCTCTGTGCTTAGCACCACACTCCAGTCCAAGTAAAATCAGCAAAGCAGTTTATTGAAGAATGTATATAAAAAGCAGTTTGACAGAATAGTATAAAAACTCAAGTCTAAATGTAAGAAATAGTCCACAGAATTTGAGATACAAGAGTAACATCAAAAACCAGGAATACAAAAACAGAATAAATCCAAAACACAAGATTCAGAAACAAATTTTGAAACTTGGAAGCATGGAACTTGAGAAACCAGAAACATGGAACTAGAAATCTCTTAGCAGGCTTGACTTGGCAAGAGATGTATCCTCAAACATCAACGTTGACCAGACTGATGAAAAAGCCCTCTAGCCTTGCTAATATAGGCACAAAATGCCTCCTCCCCTAAGAAACTCATAACAACTGTTTGCTTAACAGGTGTTTTGACCTTTGCAAACTGCTGAGCAGCCCTGTGTTCATGGAACACAAATCTCCTATCTATTGGCTCATTAGTCTGTCCACCTGGAATCTCATCCTCTGTGCTCATTTCTTGCTCTGACCTTGCTTCCCTGTTTTGAATACCTTCTCTGGGCCCTTTTCTGGAATGTGGCCTTCAAGAGACCACTCAGTTTCAGGGCTTAAAATCTCCTGCTGCCCATATTCCCCAGAAATATTCTGCTGGCTTGCAGTTCCAGAATCCCTAGTGACATCAGGTGCAGGCACGATCAAAGGCTGAACTATGACAAGACCTTTTAAAACTGCAAGGAGTTGAGTGGCATTATGCATGTGCGTCCCTTGCCAGCTTCACTTTTACTTTGGTACCCAACATATTTTGTCATGACATCTAAATCAGGAAACAATAGTTAATGCTTGGTCTTTGAACCTAGTCTGAGAGACTGTGCTTCTTGCAATTCATTCCAGCTTGTAGATTTCTAATGCCTTTTGAACTTTCCATCTTGAGTGTGTCTTAAAATTGCTACCCTCCATTTTAACAGAATGAATCTGGCCATTACGAACCCAGCCAATTTGCTTGACTGTGCTGGGATTCATGCTGGATTTATTACCCATAATGCTACCTGCCTAGAGAAAGCTGTAGGTAATCATCTCTGGAAAAGTCAAGGAAACAATGATAGTACCAACAGTGAAGTGACATTTTTCAGACTGTGCTTGAAGATTAAAGCCCCAGGAAAGCTATTTCAGCTTTAGACCACTTTTTATAGTTGTGGTTTAAAGTGCCAGCTTGGGGAGAAAGAAGTAGAGTAAATACCTACAGCAAAGGTAGGCAACTTTGATATTTTCAGAGTCCGTTCTGTCCTCCAGATCATGCCCTAGGAGTCAAGATTATTTACTGCTTATAGTTCAAACAACACAAGAATGGTAGGTTCGTATACTACTAAGCCAATGCCGCTAAACTCGTTTCTATGCCCTAGCCAATGTGAATCAAGACCAGAAAATTAGATATACAGTGCATAAAGAAGGCTATGTGTGCTGCTCTTTCTCTCAGCTCTGGAAACAATATTCTTTATGGTACAAGGTGGACAAGATGTTTATCCTATGTAAACAACAGGAACTGTATTCACAAACCTGTGCTTTTGTTCCCTATTGTGGTGTTTTCTGGTATACTTAGAAACTGTAAGCCCTTAGCACATATATCTGTGGTCAAAGGAAAAAAAATCCCATTTTATAGCAACAGACTTCTCCTCTTATTAAATTTTATCAGAGTAATACTGTATGTCTATTAACAGTGTTTGCACAGTTTGAAAGGAATTGCCCCGAGTTTCATATTGGAAATTTCTTAGTGCTAGTCACGAAAGACACAACCCTACATTCAGGAAGGGAGCAATTCTGAAGATTATTGCCATTTCCTTTGCAGGCAGTAGTTTTCTCCAGGTACTTCTTGAATAACCTCGATAGGAACAGGAGTTGATTGTGGTTTGTAGGGACCAGTAAGGCAAGTGCTGTTTGTTCTCTTCTTATCCATTTCTTTTCATTTTTCTCAGAGTTATTTTGCAGTGGAGAAACTTGCAAGATAGCTTCTGCCATTGCTATTTTTTGTTTGATTAATAGCAAATATAGGATGCTTTTTACAGCTTGGCAACTTTACTTTTTGGATTACAAGTCCCTGAAAGCACTAGTCAGTAGCTAGAAGAAGTTATTTATATATATTTTAAAGTAAGTTTTCTAAACTCTGAAGTTTTTCTTCTCTGTTGCTGAATCCATATGATGATTTAGGTTGGAGCCCTATGCATGAGTATGTGTGCGCGTGTATTTATGATTCAGCTTTCGATTTATGGCATATTCTCCATTAAAAAGAGTGGAGTATATTCACTGGTAAATATGCATAGAACTAGTGTATCAAACAGTCCTCCCACACTGAAATTAAAGGTTCAAAGTTTGATCAACTGACATAATTTAGAACACCATTGTGCTGCCTCTGCCATGTCTACAATCTAAATTAGCTATTCAACGAGTACATCTTTTTAGGTTGAACAGCTCCGAAGGCAGGGTATTCTTTTACAGAGCTAGTATTATCATTGTTATTTATTGTCAGGTCATATTTGACTTATAACACCCTCTGAATGAGAGTCCCCCCAAAAGCCCTGGCCTTCAACTACACTACTCAACCCTCATAGACTCAGGACTCTGATTCAATCCACCCATTCTGTGGCTTCTTTTTGCCTTCTGCTTTACCCAGAATTATTGTATTTTCCAGTGAGACATATTGTCTCTTGATATGTCCAAAGTATGACATCTTCAGTTCGGTTAGGGCAGTGTTTCTCAACCTTTCTAATGCCACGACCCCTTAATACAGTTCCTCATGTTGTGGTGACCCCCAACCATAAAATTATTATTTTTTATTTTTTTAAAATATATTTTATTGAATTTTCTGTGACATAATTTAAAAAGACAAAGGGAGAAAAGGGGGAAAAAAAGGGGAAAAAACGGGTAAATAGTGTAAGGGAGGGGGAAGGGGAGGGGAAGGGGGGAAGGCAGCGGGGGAACGGGAAACTAGGGTGGGTAGAAAAGAAAAAAAAAGTTGCAGGTCTTCATGGCTTCCTAAGTAAGTTGGTGGAGGTGTTCTCCTTTTCTCTGTCTTCTTTCCTTTTGTCTGTCATAGACTTCTCTCTTTCCTTCTTCCTAGAGGTATTTACTTTTATTTAAACTATTGTCTTATATTTTATCTCCTTTAAATAGTCAGTGATTTTTCCCCAATTTGTCTCTTGTGYCGGATTGTCCTTACTTCTGGATATTAGAAATGTGAGTCTGTCCATATTTCTAATGTCATACACTTTCTGTAGCCATTCTTCTGGTTCTGGTATTTCTTCTTTCTTCCATAATTTTGCATAACACACCCTCGCCGCTGTTGTTAGTAAAAATAATAGTTTGTCAATATTTTTTTCCATTTTTAATGTTGTCATTCCTAGCAGGAATGTTTCTGGTTTTAGTTGGATATTTATACCTAACATCTTTTGCATTATTTCATGTATTTTTTTCCAATACGACTTTGCCTTATCACATGTCCACCACATGTGAAACAGAGTGCCTTCCTTCTTTCTGCATTTCCAGCAGCTTGTGTTGACATTGCTACAGCATTTGCCTAATTTGTACGGTGTCATGTACCATCTATATGCCATTTTTAACCAATTTTCCAACCATAAAATTATTTTTGTTGCTACTTCATAACTGTAATTTTGCTACTGATTGAATCGTAATGTGAATCTCTGATAAGCAGGATGTATTTTCATACCCGATACGCTCAAATTTGAATACTGGTGGGGTTTTGGGGGCGGGTGATTGGTTTTGTCATTTGGGAGTTGCTGGGAATGTTTGCTGGGATTTATTGTTCACCTATAATCAAAAAGGCCTTCTGAATTCCACCAACAATGGAATTGAACCAAAGTTGACACACAGAACTCCCATGACCAACAGAAAATATTGTATTTTCTGATGGTCTTTAGCGACCCCTCTGACACCCCTTCATGACACCCCCTAGGGGTCCCGACCCCCAGGTTGAGAAAGGCTGGGTTAGGGAACCTTTACTTCTGATGGGATTCGAGGCTTGGTGTCTTTGTCTTTTTATTATTGTTGTTGTTATATTTATACCCCACTTTGTCTCTCCCGAAGGGCAGTCAGAGTGATTTAACATAAAAATATTAGCATACAGTTTAAAATATACCAATATACAAACATTAAAACAGTATTAAATGTTGTTGTTGTTGTTCATTCGTTCAGTCGTCTCCGACTCTTCGTGACCTCATGGACCAGCCCACGCCAGAGCTCCCTGTCGGCCATCACCACCCCCAGCTCCTTCAAGGTCAAGCCAGTCACTTCAAGGACACCATCCATCCATCTTGCCCTT